ACATATGCACAATGTGACATATGCACAATGTGACATATGCACAATGTGACATATGCACGTTAATCATAAAAACATCTGTATTAGCTAAAAGTGGTGTTCGGCGCATGTGAGATATGGATAAAGAAATGACAAAATTAAATTTGAGAAGTCGATGTTAGAAGCTACTATTTAGACCTGATTGTAAAATGTTGTTAAAATGTTTTAAAGTTTGCCATGAGGAAGGCGTTCATGTGAATTTTCCCAGTCCAGGACTCATTTTTCTGACACCAAGTAAATGCATTAAAAGTGCACCAATGGGGAATTTCAGTGGTGTGGGCATGGAGGGGGCTCAGAAAGCACCTCCACCTGGACCAGAGGATTAAGCACAGCTAAGGGCTGTTAGCTGATTGTTCCTCTGGTTCAAAAGGCAGCAGCAGAGCTGCCAGAGAGAGACACAGGGACACAGAGAAAATGCATGAGAAGAGACACATGAAGAGAAACTCATGGGACACTGAGAGACTGAGCTGAGCTGCAAAGCCGAGGTTCCAGCTGACATAGCTGGCAAGTTTAAGTTTGTCTTGTCTTAAGTTAAGAGTTTTGTTGAGTTTATGTTTGCTGGTCTAAAATAAAATGCTGAAAAGCAACTGGTTTGTCTCAGGCTGCTGTGATGAGACCCTGGTGGCAACATCTATCTCCACAAGTGGTTTTACAGATAATTAGGATTAGTCAAGGCATACAAATTAAAATTTTGTGACAGTGATGAAGCCAAATGAAGAGATAAGAGATCACTAGAATGTATCCTTAGGGAGACAAATGTGTGTACACATTTTCAGGGGCCTCCATCTAATATTTGTTGGGATATTTCACTAAAAACCACAAATGTCAAACCTCTGGTGGCACAAAAGCAAATATCAGGAATGAATGGGGCTCATCCTCAAGGAATCCACAATGTTTGTACAACATTTAACCATCCATCCATCTTTTCACTCTAGATTAATCTGCCAGTTCTGGTTTGTAGGAACATTTGTTAAACCTCCATAGGCTTTAGACTGCTAAGCAGGACCAATATAATTCTGCAAATTGATTAAGCCCTTCCTCTAGTGTGGTGTAAAAAAAAAAAAAAATCAAAGTTTGTGAGTAGAAGCGATAGCAGCTGAGGTGTGGAGAACGGTGTTGAACAGACTGAGGTAAAACGCCTTGCTGACTAATTGCCTGCTGCTTTTCAATTACTTCAAACACTTCAGATTTGCTCTTCAGGAACATTTGCATTGGGAGGACTCAGGAGAATTCACTGTTGAGGAAGTGACAACCTCAAATTAGCTTATTGTTACACTCAGAGCTCCGACACAGTAATCTATTAATATTTCATATTCATATAGACTTATTTTCAGATATAATTGGATGCCTGGTGATTTATGCATACAGTGGGAGAGGGGTGTGTGTGTGTCCTGGGAGTGTTTCAGTGGTTGAATGGGGTGAGAGTGGAGTGGAGAGGCTGATGGGAGAAAAAAAACCCTACAGCTCAGACTCACGGCTTCACAGTTCTGCTCAACATGAGAGCGGTTACCTTGCAAAAGCTGCAGTCAGACATGGCACAATCCTTCAGCCAGAATCAAACCACAGTCACCAAGGTTATATGGCAAAAATCCCTGCAGCACAGAAACCATTAGAGGGCTGGCAAAGTGCAGCTGGAAGTTTGGTATCCATTCATCTGGCATGAAGGTTTCTGAACATGTGATTATAAGACAAGAACACGTGTCAAAACAGCTTTGTAGGCTGTTTAATTACCAGCACAGTTCGTCCCTTTCACCCTTCATCTCACATGATGAAATATGCAGCAAGTTAACACTGGTTAAAATCTCCTCTGTGGTGAAACGCTCATCGACTTACAGTGAAATAACTCATACGGGCTGGGTGTAACTGTAAATATGTGTCCCACACATTGTGTACAGTTCTGCATTGTGCGTTTCCCATTCGTACTTCTTAGTGGGTGTCGTGATGAGCAACAGCATATTGTCAGTGTGAAAAGCCCTGCAGCAATGTCCCAGCACTTGCTTTTGCACTGTAAGCGGCACTGGCGAGTAAACACTGGCACAGACTGGAGCTCTAAGCACCTTGTAAACAGTGGCGCAGCTTAGAGGCCTGACGAAGAAGGCTGTCACATTATACAGGCAGGCTGAGCGGGGCGGGTACACGCACGTAATGTTACAGCGCAGGGGGGTGGGGGGGGGGATCACCGAGCTCTGCGGGAGCGGCTGCTTGATTTGTTCGAATAAAACCTAAAGACTGTTTGACACAACGCAATCGGAAGTAGGCGTTTGTGGGTGGTCTGGTGCTCAAAACCCAACCTCAGTGTAAAAAGCATGATTTAGTGGTTAAAGCGTAGAGGAAGTGCTGATGTACGACTGGAAGGGGAAGGGTCACGGGGGATGTGGCAGTAAGGGGGAGGTAAAGTGAGTTGAGTTTCCTCCTCAGGTAGACACACACACCAGCACATCCAGAGTTCTTTCATCACCTTTTGCTCTTATTAGTGAGGGGTGATGTGTGGGGGTGCCTGGAGGCAGAGATGATAGAGGAGGGTGACAGCGGCTGAACGGCCCAGACCCTAGACATACAGCAGACCCCCGGGGTAAATGATTATTTGAATTTCGTAAAGCTCTGAGGCCTTTGTTTTGTTTGCAGTCAGGCTCAGCAAGCAAAGCTCTCCTCCTCATTCATTTCAATTATCCCACAGCGAGCAGGCTTCCTTGCTAATTTTAACTTGCATGCTTGAGCCCTCTTGCAGTCTTTGTGTGTAAACACGTCTAAATGCGACCATATGCACCGAGTGTTGAACGGGCAGGGGATGAAAGTGTGTGGGTTGTGCGTGTGTGCGTGTGCGTGTGTGATTTACGTGCCATCTGGGGCCCACAAGAAGAGAGTTAAAGGCCATCAGGATTCAGGTAGAGTGGTCTCTTTAATAAAATATGACGTTATTTCTAATTGTCCCCAATCGAGCAATGATCAGTGCAGCTCAGCATTTAGAGTTTTCATGTTGGGCAGTAAAACCTCTTATTGGTAAAGGGAGATGTGGCTGTGTGTGTGGGGGGGATGATGCACTTAAAATGTGTCACTTCAGCCCCCTCCCCTCTCAAATGCTGATGCGTTTCAGCCCCATTAGTGACATCAATAATGTACCTCTGGATGGCCTTGAAACTGCCCCACGATCTTCACAATCAGCAGTTTAGGTGTAAGCTTTTAGCGAGGATAGATATATTTCTGCCACATCTCAGCAGAGACACCGCTTTCTTCCCACCTGAACGGCTGACCTTTTGCCAACTGGATAAATTATCACTATTTGGAAAGCTGCTCTAAAACTTTATTTGTCTTTAAAACATGAACGATTTCTGTGTTTTATTACACACAGACTGCCTCCAGATTAGAAACAGGTGTTTGAGGATATTACCAAAGTTATTAAGCGGTGATATAAGGCTCTAATTTGACAATCAATAATTATTGTGCATCCTGTTCTACTCTGCTTTTGTTTTTCTCCTTAGAATGAAGACTGTTTTTCTGCAATAATTGAGCCCATAGGTCATCTGTGCAAGTGACTCATTACGACCCATGTTGTTAGGTGATGTGGTGGCTGTATTTCTTGTGACAGGAGCAAAGTCCTTGTAAGGAGGTTGGGCTGCATGGATGGGTCAGGAAAACACAGTATCTGTTTATTTCCCATATGAAATCCATGACACACTTCCAATAATAGATTGGAACCATAAAAAATGATGTCCACAAACCTTAAGGAGATGCTTATTTTTGCCTGACAAGTTGTAAGTTACCAATTGTTACTAAAGCAAGAGCATAAACATAGCAAGGGTTTCCGTGTTCATCCTGATGACAACGTTTGTCATCTCATTTGCTACTTATAGTGACCGCCAACAAAAAACTTTACTAAACAATCCTAACATGGGATATTTACTGATGTGTTTAATGTCTCACAGACCATATTTCCAGATTTTAGGACTCACTCCTGCAGTCCTGTGTCTGGTACGCCCCCTTTGTCCTATCTATGGTACTACAAGTGATGTATACAATCATTCAAGTTGGAGGACTTGGTATTGAGAGTCATGTAGTAAAGAAACTTCCTTCACAACAACCACAGAGTTCCTGCCAAAGGCAAAAAATCTCCATTGCCACCTTCATCCCCCATGATCCAAAGTTGGAAGCGATTCTTGATGCTCTGCTTCTGCCTTCATCAGATGAGG